TATCTAATTCTTCTTCTCTTGTGAATTTGATGTCTTTAAATATGTTGTTTATTAATTTATGAGAATATTCTAAATCACTTCTCTTAATTATTACAAATGTATCGTCAACGTAACGTATCCAGATTTTCGGTTTAATTATAGGTAGAGCTATTGATTCTAATCTTTGCATAACGGTTTCAGCTATTAATCCTGATATGGGCGATCCCACTGGTGTTCCTTTTATTTGTTCATATATTTGAGTATTGAACTGGAAGTATGTTGTAAGGCATAATTTTACGAGTTCTATCCAAGTTGATAACTGCGTTTTTGTGTTTTCATCACTATAGAGTAATTGTTGCATAGTTTCTGTTGCTAGTTTTGGACTAATTGAAGTACATAATACTGTGACATCAAAGGACACCATTATTTCATTGTCTTCTACTTGAATGTTTTTGATTTTCTCTAAAAATTGGATTGACGAATTGATAGAATGGTCGCATGATTCTGTTAGGTAATTTAATTTCCTGAAAAGTTCTTTAGATAGATTATACGTTGGTGTTGACGTGAAGAACCTAGAAGACCTGGATTTCGCAGATGATTTATGTTTGATGTCACACAAAATCGAAGACTTACAAGCAAAAACCGACCAACAAACTGGTCGAAGAAGCAGCAAAGACAGGACTCCAGGTGAACATAGACAAGACGGAGGTTATGAAAATAACTAACCAACAGCAGCAACATCCAACGCCAATCACCATCAACAGGAGGGATTTGAAAGAGGTTACTTCTTTCACTTATTTAGGGAGCATTGTCTCAACCACAGGAGGAACGGACGAGGATGTCAAATCGAGAATTGGGAAGGCGAGAAACACATTCGTCAACTTGAAACCAATCTGGAAATCTTCGTCACTCAACTCAGCATCAACAACAAAATGATTCGGATTTTCAATACAAACGTCAATCAGTCAGTTTTTCTATACGGATCAGAAACTTGGCAGCGGGTCACAAAGAATATTTCCAACAGCCTGTTGCAGACCTTTATCAACAACTGTCTTCGCTCTATACTGATGATCAGATGGCCGGAAAGAATCACCAACAAGAAACTATGGGAACAAACAAAACAAGAACCAATCGCCCAACAAATATGCAGGAGAAAGTGGAGATGGATTGGACACTCGCTGGGGAGGCCACTGGGTGACATCGCACGTCAGGCCTGTGCTCGAGTGGAACCCGGCCGAAAGGGAAGCGGCGAGTTGGTCGTCAGTGCAAGGGTGACATGGAGGAGATCGTGTGAAGAGGAGCTGAAACAGTATGGAATAACATGGACGCAGGCGAAAAGTACAGCAGTAGACAGAAGCAAGTGGAGACGTGCAGTTGAAGTTCTATGTTCCACTAGGAACCCAAGGGAACAATAATAATAATACGTTGGTGTTCCTGGAAGCGAAATGATTGGTCGTAAGGGAATATTTGGTTTGTGTAGTTTCGGTCTACCATAGAATCGAGGTAAAATAGGTCCGTTAGATTTCATTCGCCATTGATCTTGTTTGTTCTATAATTTGTCCTGATTTCGTTAGTTCATTTAAGGTTGTACAGATTAGTCTAATAGCTGAGAAAATATAACCTTACATTAGAAGTCAAATGTTTACACAATGTTCATGTCCTTTTAGTTGAGGTTTTTCCACTTCAGTAGTAGTAGCTCGACTCTTCAAGTGACTTCTGCCGAAGACATTGAAATATAGATGGTGCTTACAAATTTTGAATTGGTTGTCTTCTCTGAGGAGCTGGTTGATGGCTTAATTGCGAAGCTTTCGTCTTCCCCCCTGTTAGACAACATCTTCCTTCAGTTCAGGTTTTAGTATACAATGAACCCATTTAAATTCTCCATGAATGGTGATGTAATTGTATCTCCTGTCAATCATCTTCGTGACTGGTTGTTGGTTGATTTATGTTTCTATTGATCATATTTTTATTGAATTGGAATTTGAACTTTCCTGTTATGTGATTTGCTTTTTATTAGTAGCTGGTAAATTTGGTCTATAGTAATTGGTGTATTTGTTAATCGCTGACTGATTCACTTGAGTACCAGACAGGCTTCTAGGAATTCCCCGAATGCATTTTTGATGTTCCTTCATTATCCCAATCATATTCGTGTTCGTAATTATTTAATTGCATTGATATGAAAGAATATATATATCATGTCCGTTTACAGCTAGTTTGTGTTCTTGGATTCTGATTCTGAGAGGACGCCCATTTTGACCGGTGTAATGTTTTTAATTGCAGTTCATGCATGCAATTTATTTTGTAAATGGTATTAATTAATATTAAAACTGTTCGAAATAGATATAGCACACACAAGGCAGCCAGCCAGCACACAATCATCACTTCATTCGATATTGTGCAAACCAAAAGATCCAACAAAAAGCGAAGATAAAATTAATACCATTTACAAAATAAATTGTATTAACTGCGATAAACATTACATCGGTTAAAGTGAGCGTCCCCTTAAAATCCGAATCCAAGAACACTAATTAGCTGTAAAAGGACACAATATGTATTCTTTCACATCAATGCATGTAGATAATTATGGACACCAATTCGATTGGGATAATGTCGAGATTTTGAATAGAGGAGACACTAAAAGTCCATTATGGATAAGATTTTATTTTGATACAGTCACACAGTGCTGTTGTACAGTAATATTAACTGATGACCACCTTTCGAGCACAAATTATTGCCAATCAAAATCATATCAATGTGCTACTCACACAACTTTTTCCTTCATTTAAATACATGTGTGGAAATCATGATTAAATATTTGAATAAAAATCAATATGGGATAATGTACATTCAGAGATAATAATATGAGTGTTATTGATCAATTACAATTAGATGGGAAATAAGACGAATGTTTTTATAGTTATAATAAGTAATTTGTTAGAATGTTGTGATTTGCTTGAATTGAAATAGAATTTTGAGATTATTTATTATCCTCCTCCGATTTGACTGACAGGTAGTAATATCTTTCATACCTAATCTTTGGTGTTTACGTTAAAGGATCCTGTAGATTGACCCAATTAAACAAAATAATATAATTTACAAAATACCTTGTAATGACTGTGAGGTCAACTATATAGGTCAAACTAGTAGATCGGGGGTAATCAGATTGTCGGAACATAAGAATTTAGCCAAGGTAAGAATGGTTGACCCCGAGAAGATAAGTAATTTAGAAAAAAGCTCAGCGATTGCACTGCATGCATTAACACACAACCACACAATAGGGTGGGAGAGGGTTAAGATTCTAAGAAGTAATCTATGTAGGTGGAGAGAGAGATTGATTACTGAATCCTGGTTCATTGAATCTACACCCAACACATCAACAGAAATGACTCAATGCAAATACCAGAAATATGGAAGATATTATTACCACCAGTCCGTCAAATCAGAAGAGGATAATAAATAATTTCAAAATTCTATTTCAATTCAAGCAAATCACAACATTCTAACAAATTACTTATTATAACTATAAGAACATTCGTCTTATTTCCCATCTAATTGTAATTGATCAATAACACTCATATTATTATCTCTGAATGTACATTATCTCATATTGATTTTTATTCAAATATCTAATCATCAATTTTACTCATGTATATAAATGAAGGAAAAAGTTTTGTGAGTATCTTGATATGATTATGAGTGGCAATAGTTTCTGCTCGGAAGGTGATCATCAGTTAATATTACTGTACAACAATACTGTGTGATTTATCAAAATAAAATCTTATCCATAATGGAGTTACACTCTGCCACAGTGCACAAATTTTATACTTATATCAATGAAACACTAAAACTGCAGTCAGTGGATTCCTAGGAGCCTACCTGGTACTCAAGTGAACCAGCCAGCAATTTATAAACACATTAGTATAGACCAAATTTACCAGCTATTAATAAAAAGTAAGTCATCACACGGCAAGAAAGATCAAATTCTTAGTCAATAAAAATGATCAACAGAGACGTAAATCAACCAACAACCTGTTACGAAGATGGTTGCCAGGGGATACAATGACATTATCATTCATGGAGAATTTGAATGAAATAATTTTATACTAAAACATGCACTGAAGGAAGATGTTGTCTAGCAGGGGAGACGACGAAAGCTTCTCAATTAAGTCATCAACCAGCTCCACAGAGAACCCAACTAATTTAGAATCATCCACCTGAACTACAAATCTTCTCTATTATGCTTACAAATTCTTAGCAGTAGAATACATAACGCCTATGCCTTGTCACTTCTGACAAAAGCACTATTTAAGATGTGTCTATTGGAGTAAGTGATAGCGTTGCTTCATTCCCATATTGTAGAATTCCCCTTGATCCTTCATTTCATTGATTTTGCTCGTCTAGTTGTCTTGTTGTTGTCAAGTAAATCTAGTGCCGTCTAGTTATCTCATTCAGTTAGTTAGGCACTATAAAATAATTTTTTTATCGGTTCTTTTCCGATATGATTTCTTTTAATGATAGGTCTATTTACTCTAGTAGTTGTATTCTATGAGCTGTACGGTTTGATTGATTGCAAAGTTTTCATTGATCTTTCTAGTCAATGCCTTCAGCACTCACTTTGTAACGACAGAAGACAAGGGCGCTAGGTAACAGATCGTTTATTGAGAAAATCAAGAGATATTTATGTACATTATTATCAGTGGAGAAACAACGTCTTCTGATTGGTTGTCTTCTTGCTGAAGGTTATTCTTTACTTCTTGTGACCGTTTCTCAGAAAGTTAAGCCATATATCTACGAATCGTATTTGCACACGTTAAGTCTGCTGTGATTGGTTGTGGAGTTCCTCAAGGTTAAGCTTTGTTATTGCTGTTTTTTTTTCTCATAACCCCGATTCGGAATGGTAACATTAACACGTAAATTGCTGTCTACAATTTTTGCCTAGCAGCCAGTTTTCACCGCAAACTTCAATATAAAGTCTATCTGCTTTCTAAATCCTAAATACCTGCCTGTATAATCTCTTCCAGAACGATGGCTTCGCTCCATTTTTGCCCTATTTCCATCCACAAGTTCTACACAAAAGTCCCTCTCCAGATAATCAATCCATAAGACTAAGTAAAAGACGTAAAAGACGAGCAATCAAAACTGGAAATAGGGGAGATGAATTCATTGCTACTGAAAATGTGATGAAATCCGACTCCAGTAGTAGTGAAGATGAAGATGATGATGACTCGGCGGAGGAAGAGGAACTGTATTCGTCTAGATATTATCTTAAACAACCGTTAACTGCACGACAAATAAGCTTACACTCACAAAAATATACTGACTCAGCTAGCGTGAAAACTTTAAACCAATCGGATGAATCCTTGAATCCGGTGAAGTCATCTACTACTGATTTAACACAGGAGCAGATTGCTGCTCGTCAAAAAAAGATAGATCAACGTAAAGAGACAGCAAAACTCAAGGTAGAAACAGAAAAACGTCAATTAGTTGAACGTTTGTTAAAGGTAAGTTGTAACTATTCCCCCTGTTGGTTTTGGTGTTGTTGTCGTTAGCCTTCCATTACAGTTTCATTTTAATAATAATTTGCTTTGATTGGATGACAGTAGTCAGTAACTAGTGTAATGTGTCTAGTCCTCTGTTTGGTACAGGCTGAGTTCTATCAGTCATTCAGGTTTGCAATGTAGCCACCATGCCACTAAGTGGCTCGCCATCACGGTGCGATTTGCATTGTCGATGCTAGATGGTTGGAGGCAATCGGCAGGAAGCTAGTTGGCACTCACCAGTCAATCAGAGAGGCAGGGGTATCTGCAACCACTTTGAAGGAACTCATGTCGCTTCTGAGATTCAATGTGCACCGTGATGGCAAGCCACCTAGAATGGTGGCCGCATTGCAAACGTGACTGACTGATAGGATTCAGTCTGCACGAAAGAAAAGACTACACACATCACACTAGTTAGTTACTAGTGTCCAATCAAAGTATCCTATACAGTCAGTTTTCTAGTATTGTGGTTTGTAGGGATTTGATTGATTGGTTACAGGATTTCATCATAAGCTGCTGGCATTGGTTAGAGAACCATTGGAAAACCAGCTCGGAGTACTGGACAGTTGCTTCATTCTAGTTTGAGACTCTTCATCAGTACGCACCCACCGCCAGGGTTCGAACCCAGGACCTTCCGGTTATAAGGTGAGCTAGCTCGTAGACCATTAGGCCACTGGGACCCGATCCAATGGCCCATGAATTCTAACTTCTGCCAATTCACGACATAGCGCGACCGCTAGCTAATGTCTTCGGCGAGTATTTGTTCTCACACCCGACCTGCTGCACCGTAATGGAGGTCAACCGCGAACCCGAATAGCTCAGTGGTAACGTCTCTGACTGCAGTACTCACTGGGTGACGCGATTTCGAATCTCAGAAGGGACACAAGCTGTTCTTTCAAGGTTTCAGATACGCCCAGTTGACTCGCTGGTGCCAACTAGCACGAAACCTAAGTCAGGTAAAGCATTCTGCCGATTGTCTTCAACCATCTAACATGATCACACAATTCGCTTTATTCCAAAACAGCAGTACTAATGTTACAGTGTGGAATTTTCAGTATTAGGTACATTTGATTGCCTCTAATTTTATCGAATAATATTGAAAACGATTATAAAGATAATATTACAGGATTGTTAACGGCAAATTCTTATTTGGTATTAGTAGTGACAGTAAGATCATAAACAAAAAGAAAATTGTAAAATAATGACAATCATGTTTGTAGTTAAGATTGTTAGTTAATTGTGATAGTGTCACCATAGATTAGAATTAGGAGAACATAAAAAGAGCCAATTATTTTGTTAACAGTGTAGTAATTCATAGTTTTCGCGCTTAACATTATCTCTGTCGATTAGAACAGGGGCCAAATATAGTATCGTTGAGTTCCTATACCTGGCAGTACGAGCATATAATCTTTTGTACTGACTTGTAGTTCTACCAGATGAGATACAAGGCGGGGAGAGTTGAGAATAGAGGGGCTGGGTGTTGAGGGTCAGACAGTATAAATTTAGACCATTTCTCGTGTGAGTTTAGATGTGACAAGCTGACTAAGTTATACACCACTTGCCCTGCTGACAACCTTTAATACCCTTCTCAAAGTGACATAGTCCTTTAGCAGTAGACCAGGAAAGACTAAGGAGTGGGAGCAGTAAAGTACAATAGGTAAGATGCAAGTTTTGACAAGCTGTAAAAGAAGAGGTTGAGTGATTCCAGACTGCCTTAGCTTCTTAATGTAGAAGCTTAGATGGAACATCTTCTTGGAGATCGATGAAATATAGGATGACCAAGTAAGGTCAGAGGATCCAACTATAATATACCAAGGTATTTTGAGTTGGACCTAGTTTCTATTACAGTTCCCTCTGTGCTACAAGCATCATGTATACTGACCAGTCGTTGTATAGATCACTTTTAAGTCTAAAGGAGAAGTCAATATTCTGGCATTTTTAGGGATTTGACATAAGACCATTTACCTTAAATCACTGAGTGATGTCAGTGATGTGTGCTTCGGTGGCACAACGGTAGGGTGCTCGCCGACCACTCAGGTGGTTCAGAGTTCGATCCCCGGCCACCGACACACTCTTTTACCTCTCTGTGCCAGTAATAAGACTGGTAAAGAGAGAAGGTTGGGCATGAGGTGGCTAGCAACCCCACCTCGTAAAAATAAACACCACTGCTACCGAAACTTCAAGCCTCTAGCTTGAAGCCCCATTTTCCACTGGGAACGTAAAGGAATTTAAAAAAATCAACCTTCATGCTAGACAATGTGTTTCATTTATTTCGAGCATAAATTACAGTAGTTTGCTAATCAGATCTTAGTTGTTGAAGTCAAGGTAGGCTTCAAGCTAGAGGCTCGAAGTTCTGGGTAGCAGTGATGTTTATTTCTACGGGATGGGGTTGCTAGCCACCTCATGCCCAACCTTCCCTCTTTACCAGTCTTATTACTGTTTTAGCGAGGTAAAGGAGTGAGTCGGTGGCTGAGGATCGAACCCCGGACCACATTAGGCGTGGTTGGCGAGCATTCTACCGCTGTTCCGCCGACGCACAAGTCAAGGTAACGACTGCAGTATAGAAAATAAATAAGGAATTAATTATGTGATATCCTAGCCGTTAAACCAGCTTTATGATTTTCACTAATCAAATTAAGCTTATCAAAGTTTAAACGTGCAATATTTAAAATGAATTGCTACAATTGTACAATATTTCTAATTCTAGATTAGCTCCAATGGAGTAAGCGGACGTGGACGAGGCCGAGGTAGAAGAATTCAAACCAATGACTCACCGTCAAGAGAAGATCATGACGATAATGTACTCGCTTCACAACAACAATCGGATAACGAAGTGTATGCAGAGTCTGCAGAGATAAATAGTACTGAAGGGATTACACCACCACCGCCACCTCCAGTGGCTGAAGACAAATCAGAATGCATTTCAGTCCCCGACGGTGGCGGGTTACACTTGCAACCATCTAATCCAAACTACATACGTTTCATTTCATCCTCTCGTCTATCCGAGTCAACTGTTATTTGTCTACCTGCAACACACGAATATTTACATGCAAATTTTAACAAGCCTACTACTAATGAAACACCAAAGCTACGTATGTGTGATATGGGTTGCGGTTGTGTTCGACGTTATGAATGTCCAAAGACTGGACGTTCTTTATGCAGCCTATCATGTTATAAAGCTAATCTGGCTCAAATTCAAAAATCACCCACAAAGATTGTTTCAACATAGTGTGTCTGTGTGTATGTGCAATTCATCTTAGACGTCTGTCTTGTATTTACAGAATATTATAAATTTTATACTGATGAAATGACTTATATATTTGTTAAATTTCACGTGATATGTTCGCTTGCGACTACACACAAGAGATGGGGGTATATGCTTAATTTTAGTCTGCCTGTCTGTTTTCGACATAGAACTTTGCACCGATGTGCGGCAGTTCAAATCGCCACACTCCATGTAGCACACAAAGTAAGAGAAGAAATGCATATTAGAGACAGTAATTTGAGGTGTGAGACAAAGGAGTAGTGATAACGAAGAACAATATAGTTTAATTGGAAATCATAAGTCATAAGGAGTGGATGCATCTGGGCCAGCCATTGAAAACGATTTTGAGGCATGTCACCAATTTTTTCCGACCATTGGTTTTTACCGTCCCGAGGACTCCAACCAGTCAAGAAGTCTACACCTTCCTACGTGGCTTAGACTAACTGTTGTAGATTTCACTGACTGATGAAGCCAAGTTTTCGTTTGACCGCCGCTAGCTCTTTTCCAGCCTGACCCTATGTCAGCTAATATTGCCCGTCGAGGAAGGCGATGGCCAGGGATGCATGCGTAACAAATGTCCTAACCATCTCAGTCGATATAATTTCACAGTCTCGTCGATTGATTCCCCTCCCATTTACCTAGCACTCGACGCCTAACCTCAATATTGTCCACTCTATTATACCACCATCTGACACGGGAGATAGAATGCAGACATCTATGATCAAAGACAGCTAATCTTTTTATGTCTTCCACTCTCAGTGCCAGGTCTCACAGCCATAAAAGAGGACGGAGCGGACTGATGAGCAGTACACCCGCCCTTTGGTCGATAGCCGGATATCATGTCTACGCCAGAGACGGCGTAAACTGGCACATGCGAAACTAGCCCTCTGTGTCCGTTCTGAGATTTCGTGAGAGATCAACCCGTTGGGGCTGATGGTACTTCCCAAATATGTTAAGCAGTCCACGTGCTCTACCACTTCACTCCCTATTTCTAAACTAGGAGTCAGTGTAATCCAGTCCTGTAACATCATCTTAGTGCAGTGCTTTCATCAACAACTGTATGCGTCAGTGCATAAAGTACGTTCAATTGTGTGATGATCCGGTCACCGTTCAGTAGTCACATCTAGTGTTAGGCTCGAGACTTCATTACTTGACTAGATCGCCATTTTTCAGTCACCTGTGTGCACTACCAGGCTGGAAAGTTTATTTAAGTGAAAAGTGACTGGAAATAGCAGTGATGTCATATGGCCAAGTTTTGATGCAAGTGAGATATGAGACCTACCACTAACCAAGTACCTATGATAAATATCGTAGTGCTATATGGGGATGGAATGTGCAAGTTCGATCATTTTTAGTGTGTACTAGGTGGTATCTTTTGCGTTTAGTTAATCCTTATTAAGAGGTTGGTGTTTGAAAATTGGTTGCACTTGTGTCTCAAGACAATTATTAAATAGAGCATAGAATGGCAGTCAAACCTCTACCGACCTCAACTTCATCGACTTTGAAAAGGCTTTCGACAGGGAGGCGCTGACCGAGAAGTAATTTGAAAACTACTTCAACACTACGACGTACCCCTCAAGTCGTTATCAACCTCCACCCTCGCTCTTTCACTGTCAAATAGCCAATCATATTAACACACGGATTAGTATGACGCAATCCCCTCTACCAGACTCTTGGTGAGAAGAATCACTAATCCATGTTTGGCCACGGTAGGAACAGTGTCTAGACGTGTTCTCTTTTTTTGGATACAAAGTTCCGGTTTAGTCGATCTTATTGTTCGGAGCCAGGTGAAGACTCTAGCAGAGAACCGACCGCAATGGAGACGCACGGCTGAAGCCCTATGTTCCTCTAGGAATTAAAAGAAACAATAATGATAATTGTAACGACAACAAATATTATAATTGTAAGAACCTGAAGAGGAGAAATTATTGAAAAGAATATTCTTCGTATCAGATTTCAATTTTGCTGAAATTATTTATACAAATATAATGTGTCTCTTCTATGTGTATATGTCTACTTTTCACTCAGGTAGAGAAGTTTGTAGAACTATCCGGCCAAATCTTGATCACATTTTGTGAAAGATGCTCCACACAAGAACATCATACAGAAAGTTAGCAAGCATTACTTGTCATGACTACATTCAACACTCATCACTTCATGTTACTTTCAGAAAAAGAAAAGAAAATTGCAGCATATTCACCAATGGTTCCGATTCTTGGCTATATGTGATAACGTTTTGCACCACTGATTCGAACTATCATTCGGACCGCAACCAGTGTGTTTGATGTATCAACTAATGCTAAGCGAACATAAATATCCTTCACTCCACGTCATACGCTGACCACCTTTCCTCTTTTTCCATCCCTTACCAGGGCTAGCGAACGGAGGCCGGTACGAAAGACTCTAGGATGACATTTGTTTAAGCCGATGTTTCCGGATGACGACACTCAATTAGTGGTGACCTCCACTGTGTCCACATACACGCTGCCTGACTTAAGAATTACTCACACGACGATGCCGTGGGACGTGAGCAATTCTACGGAGACAGCAATGGTTGAATACATAAAATCGTTGCACATTCTCTATTAGGAGACGTCAGGTTTCACACGTGTAGAGAGAGACTGCATGCACCGGAGCATTGCAAGTTCAACCTTTGACGGCAACACAGGTGGCCTAAAGCGACGTGTGCAACCCTGGCTTTTGCTATACAATTAGAGATTTCATTCGTCACACTGTCAGCACTCACATAATAACTACCTAGATACACGAACTTTTCGGTAACTCCAAACGGTTCATCTGCAAAGGTAACTCCTAAGAATCTTGCATCAATACTTGACAATGAGACGGTACAGAGCACATCCCATTCTTACAGACAATCGCATGATAAGGTGGGGCACAGCTAAACTTCTATTAGAAAGTAATATAGGTAGCTACAGAGAGAGAGAGTGATTCATCAATGGATTTTCATAGAATCTACACATAACGTGTACAATATCAAGGAATAGAAAATAATCGATTTTATTCTGTTCTCCACAGTTTTTTTGTTTTAACTGATTTTACGATTGCTTATAGGCTTTCATCTCCTCCTTCCATGTTACCCCTCAAGATGACACCCAACTTGTCGTCACCCGTTCGAGTCCCACTCGATGACCTGACTGGCACATGATGTCCTTCACAACAGCTTAATTCATCTCCATTTTCGTTTCGGCATATTTGTTAGGCGATAGGTCACTAGGTTGATTCGTTACCACGAAAGGTGATATCTTTAGATAGTGTTTCGACCAACTCTCTCTCTCACACACACACACTGTCAAATAACCAATCATATTAACACATGGAGAAGTATGACGTAATCCCCTCTACCAGACTTTCTCTAACCATCCTACATGGAACGGCCAACTGACAAGCTTCTACACAGCTGGGTACCAATCAGTCGGAAAAGAAATCTAATTAGATCTCTTGCCACTCGCGTCCAACGCATCTGCAGCTCTGATATCATGGAAGAAGAAGAAGAACTAAACTTCCTGAAAGAAACCTTCGTACAAAACGGTTACCTATGAAGATTCGTAGACAAAAACATCAAACAAAAAATCCAAAAGCAAGAGACAGCATCCGCTTGCCAAAAAAGATACTTTATATGAACCGCGACTTCAAAGGAGACCTACACTCAGTGACATCCTTAGAAGGAGAATCTCCACCTCTTTAAGAAGAACTTCCCTTGCGGCAACATCGAGAGTAGTGCCCGCTGATCTGCAGAAGCCCAAAGGACAAGATCCCGCACCTGACCACTACTTCTATGTGTATATATCAGTTCACCTGTTGCTGTGAAGCCAGCCAGGTACATCGGTCGTTCAACGCGCATCCTCTGTCAAAAAAAGGGTCAAAGAACACTATCCAGCGTGGCTGCAGAAAGGGGGGTGCAATAATCGAACACCTCATCAACACTGGTGGTCATTCCATCTCAACAAACGCCTCCTCCTTCAAAGTAATCTACAAAGTGAAGAACATGCTATTTTAACTGGCGCTCAGATTTGTAACGCTATAGTCAGAAATCTTATGGAACAAGAACACGTCAATCAATAGAAAAACATACATATATATATATATATATTTACATATATTAGGAATCTTTAGTAATATGTGAAACCATTGCATCAAGTAGATTCAACGCTTGTTTATAAATATTTCCATCACCATCATTCTTTGAAGACTTATCAGAATTATTAGGCAGTGATTTTGGCATTTGTATAACTTGTAGTAATTTTTCAACTGGTATACCAGCCGGGGGAAGTTCATCATCATCATTGTCAGCGTTATCTACTTCACTATCAATCTGACATTGTTGTTGTTGTTGTTGTTGACCAGTATATATCGAAAAGATACTAGGTACATTTGAGTGAGCGGTTTTTTGTTTTTTCATAAATAATTTTGGATGAGTCGCGTCAATTGCAAATGTGATCACTGATTAGCCAAAGAAAAAAATAAAGTAAGGAAAATGCGTACATAAGTTAAACAATGAAACATTCGGCGAAGTTAAACAATAGCGCCGCAGAGATGCAAACGCTCCAATGACGACCTTGAACGCATGCTAATCACCGCTGGCTAACGACACTTGTCATTATCACATAGCGCGCAACCATGAACGCGCTATTCACTAACTAAGGAGCGAATTTCACCCATATCACGTTTTTAATTACTGTTTAGACATTATGATTATTTCCTTTAGTTCCTAGAGGGACATAGGGCTTTAGCCATGCGTCTCCATTGCGTTCGGTTCTCTGCTAGAGTTTTCACCTGGCTCCAAGTCTGCCCACACGTTTTCATCTCCTCTTCACATGATCTCCTCCAGGTCACCCTTGGACGACCAACTCGTCGCTTCCCTTTCGGGTTCCACTCGAGCAATGGCTTGTCTAGTGATGTCACTTGCTGGTTTCCTCAGAGTGTGGCTAATCCATCTCCATTTCTTCCTGCCTATTTGTTTCACAATCGGTTCCTGGTTGGTTTGCTCCCAGAGATCTTTGTTGCTGATCCTTTCCAGCCATCTGATCTTGAGTATTGAGCGAAGACATCTGTTAATGAATGTCTGTAGCTTGTTTGAGGTGCCCTTTGTGACACGCCAAGTCTCTGATCCGTATAGTAGTACTGACTTCACATTGGAGTTGAAAATCCCGATCTTATTTTTGACGCTGAATGTTGTTGACCTCCACACAGACTTCAGAGTAGTGAAAACTTGTCTTGCTTTCCCGATCCTCGCTTTGATATCCTCGTCAGTTCCATCTGCCTGTAGTTGAAACAATGCTTCCCAAGTAGGTAAAGGAGGTTGTTTCTTTCAGGTTCCTTCCATTTATGCTGATTGTTGTCTGTTGTTGTTGCTGCTGTTGGCGGTGTTACCCAGGAACCTTCATCACCTCTGTTTTCTCCATGTTCACCTGAAGTCCTTGCTATCTTTGATGCTTCTTCTGACAACTTGTTACTTTTCACTTGCATATCTTCCAGTTTGTGGGAAATCAGACATATATCATCGGCGAAGTCCAGATCCTCCAAGTCCTTTGTGTGAGTCCATTTTATGCCTGTTTCCTCATTGCCCGCTGTCTGTCGCATTATCCAACCTACTGCAATCAGGAAAATCATTGTGGATAGTAGGCAACCCTGTCTTACTCCTGTCTTCACTTCGAAGGATTCCGTGAGCTTCCCGTTGTGGATTACTTGGCATGCAGCGTTGTCATACAACTGTTGGATGAGATGTCTAATTGTCGGCGGCACCCCGTAGTAGCGAAGTAGTTGCCAAATCACCTCTCGATCGACGCTGTCGAAGGCCTTTTCAAAGTCGATGAAGTTGAGATAGAGAGGTGACTGCCATTCCAAACTTTGTTCAATGATGATCCGTAGTGTGGCGATTTGATCAATACATGACTCGTTTCTCCTGAATCCAGCTTGTTCCGGTCGAAGTTTTTCATCCAGGGCTTGTTTGATCCTTTCCAGGATGATGCGGCTTAGTATTTTGCTTGGGATGGACAGGAGCATAATTCCGCGCCAGTTCTTGCATTGACTTAAGTCTCCTTTCTTTGGTAGTTTGAATAGGTATCCTTTCTTCCAATCCTCGGGTACTTTGCCTTCTTTCCACACCTTCTCCAGTAGTGGCGTCATCAAGTCCGCTGTTGTCTCTGGGTCCACTCTCAATGCTTCTGCTGGGATTCCATCTGGTCCTGCTGCTTTTCCAGTTTTCAGCATCTTGATTGCTTTCAGGACTTCTGTTCTCCTCGGGGGGTTGATGTTCACTGGTAATTCTGCTTCCGTTGTTGGTATTGTTGGGCGCGTTGTAGGTGGCGGTCGGTTTAGTAGTCTTTTGAAGTGTTCAACCCAGTGTTTCCTTTGCTCCACTTCTTTGGTGATTGACTTTCCGTTGTCATCCTTCATTGGCTTAATTTGTGACGAATTTTTGCCTGAGAGGTACCTAGTTGTTTGGTAGAGTGTTTCCAGGTCTGTTTAGACATAGTATTAATATATAATAGAGAAGATTTGTAGCTCAGGTGGATGATTTGCAATTAATAGTGTTCTCTGAGCTGATTGGTTTAGTTGCGTAGATAGCAATAAATCAGTTACTCACAAATGAAACTGTGTGCAGACATTGTTTAGAAAAAGTTCAAACACACATTGTAGCAATCCAGAGTTGAAAAGAATGGAACGGTCTTCAAAAAGAATGGTTATCCCCGTCACAATTTCATCAAAAAGTGTGTTTAAAGTCGAATCAAAACACCAACAAACAACCATCATCAAAGATCACAAGAAAATTCATTCTACCATACATGAAGAATATCTCTGAAATAACAGCTAGAATACTGAAACCGTTTGGAAAAGGTATATCACACAAGCCAGTCAAATCGCTTAATTCGATATTATGCAAACCAAAAGATCCAACAGAAAAAGGAGATAAAATCAATACCATTTACAAAATAAATTGTATGGACTGCAACAGGCATTACATCGGTCAAAGTGGGCGTCCCCTTCGAATCAGAATCCAAGAACACAAATCAGCTGTGAAATACACAATATATATTCTTTAGTATCAATGCATATAGACAATTATGGACATCAATTTGATTGGGATAATGCCAAAATCTTAGACAGAGGAAACGCCAAAAGTGCAGTCAGGGAATTCCTAGAAGCCTGGTACTCAAACAAAAATGCAACTAACAAGCACGTTAGTTAATCCAGACGAAATATACCAAATAATAAAAAGTAAATCAGGTAACCAGAAAGTTTAAAATTCAAGTTAATAGAAAATGGTCAGTACATATGTAAAGATAGTTACCAGGAGACGCAATTCTATCACCACTCATGAAGAAATTTTAATCATTCCACTTTATGCTAAATACTGCGCTGAAGATGTTGTCCAGAAGGATGACGAAAGCTCCGCAACTAAACCAATCAGCTCAGAGAACACTATTAATTGCATAGTATTAATATCTCGTCAGGAAAAGGTTAAGGTAGGTATTAGGGTTAGGATTAAGGTTATGGTTACGATTAGGAATAGATTTTGGAGTTGGTATTATTTATTTGAATTCGATTTCTTATCCGCCTTACCCTAGTACGTAGTCCTCGATCCTCCTACTACTGGGAAACCGTAGAAATTCAACCGAGGGCTTTCGGGAAAGACTGCAAAACAGGATAAGAGCGATAAACGGGTTACAAATAAAACCCGCCTTAAGTCACCTCGGTGAATATATGTACAGAAACTGGTTTAATTTTTGAAAAAATGATACTCCTCATTATAACCGGGAAGTATTTTTAAGTCATTTCAGAGCAAGATACCCTATTTATTGTATTTTCATTAAATTTTCTTGTGAATAAATGTCATTCTTGTGCAAAAATAACTCATTTCTATTGGTTGGTCGTCTTAAGGTCACCCGTGAGTTCGCATCCCTTGGGACGCTGTTGTTTAACTTTGCCAAACACTCATTACACAGTGTTGCTAGACAAAAGGGGAGCATAAATTCATGACTCTTTAGCTTGAGCGTCAGTCAGTATCGCATCGGCGAATAATTGTCCTTATACACGCACTCACACACACGAACTGGCGGACACCACTGGTCATGACTAATCACTAGAAGCACGGAAGCGGAAGCTACTGTGTTCGAACCCCATTGTCTAGTAGTCCCTACTAGTTTTCAACGATTCTGTAACTGATATCAATCCATCATTAGACTTGAAAAAAAATCAATTCCCTACAATTTCACTCCTGAAAATGAGTATGCTTGCTGGATGGTTGAAGATAGTCTGTCGGTAGGAAGTTTTGATCATAGATTTCCTGTGTGTGGTTGATGAAGCCAAACAGCTCGATGATAACGTCCCTGAAAGCATAACTGGGTGACGTGGGTTGGAATCTCCGATGGTAGGGGATATCAGTTCTTTCAAAGTTGTTCATACATCGTGCTGAAGAGGTGCCAGTAAGCGCCAAACCCCCCCGAAGTCAAGACTTCCTCCCGATTATCTCCAACCATCATCTGACATCAATTCAAAGTGCACTGTGATGACAAGTCACATAGCTAGGTGACCACACAGCATACTTACTTGACCGGTAGAATTCTATCAGCATCAATAGAAAGGAGTAGACACATGATGTTTATTATACCCTAATGAACAATCGAATGAGTTCAGATTGCATTTTTAATAGACAAATTTAATACGTTCATTAATATCCAGAGTACAGCAAATACAAATATCCTAGATTAATCCACTGTTATACCATATAAGGAGGGGACATCTGAGACCCTACGTAGGATTCTTAATAAAGCAGGAATTCGGGTGGCATTTAAACCTACAAACTCACTCAGTCAGGACAAGCTCTGTAGGCTAAAGGACCCTGTCGGTTGACCCAATTAAACAAAATAATATAATTTACAAAATACACTGCAATGACTGTGAGTTTGGTTAACTACATAGGTCAGTCAAACTAGTAGATCGGGGATAGTCAGATTGTCGGAACACGAGAATTTAGCTAAGGTAAGAATGGTTGACGCTGAGAAGATAAGTAATTTAGAAAAAAGCTCAGCAATTGCACTACATGCAATAACACAAAACCACACAATAGGGTGGGAGAGGGTTAAAATTCTAAGAAGTAATCTATGTAGGTGGAGAGATTGATTGATTACTGGATCTTTGTTTATTGAGTCTACAACCAACACATGCAACAGAAATGACTCAATGCAAATACCAGAAATATGGAAGATATTATTACCAGTCAAATCAGAGGAGGATAATAAATAACTTTAAAATTCTATTTCATTTCACGTACATCATAACATTCTAACAAGTTACATTTTACGACCAAAATACACTCGTCTTATTTCCCATCGTATTGTATTTTTTTGATAACACTCATATTATTATTTCTGAATACACATTATTCCATATTGATTTTTATTCCAATATCTAGTCAATTCCACACATGTATATAAATG